GTAGTTAATAACTTTATTAACTGAGTCCTGAATAGTATAGTAAGGTGCCATTTTAGAGAAGATCTGAAAATATGTTCCTGTTAAAAGTGTACCCTGTGTATTTTCAATGTATTATATTGAATTACTCCATTGAATATTGGATGCCTGTTCTAAGCCACATGCATTTATAATATATAAGGGTTGAAATTCGTGTGTTCTCTGGAATATATTGAATCTGAACTCTGACAGAACTTACTCTTCCCAGTTAAGCATAAAGGATGAAAGGTTAGATTTTACATAGCACCCTTTCAAGTAACATTATCCCTTCAGCACCGAAAAGAAATCTTACATGTCAATGAATTGATACTTGAACCTAGGATATTGGAGGTTTTATTTTATGGTATTATCAATGAAGGATTATATACTTAAAGGTTAGTTGATATACAGATGCATATGTATGGTGGAATTAAAAGGATGATGTGGTATTTTATATAAATATTATCTGTCTATCAAAAGACAACTGGGCTGCTTCCATGGTTTGGCTATGTAAATAATGCTGCAGTAAACAGGGGTGCATGTATCCCTTTGAATTAGTGTTTTTGTACTGGGTAAATACCCAGTAGTGCAATTACTAGATCATAGGGAATTCTGTTTTTAACTTTTTGAGGAACCCCCATATTGTTTTCCAGGGTAGCTGCACCAATTTACATTCCCACTAACAATGCATGAAGGTTCCTTTTTCTCCACATCCTCGTCAACACTTGTTTCTTGTGTTTTTGGTTTTAGCCATTCTCACAGGTGTGAGGCGATATGTCATTGTGGTTTTGATTCTATTTCCCTGATGATGAGTGATGTTGAGTATCCTTTCATATGTCTGTTGACCATCTGGCTGTCTTCTTTGAAGAAATGTCTATTCATGTCTTCTGCCCATTTTTTTAATTGGATTATTTGTTTTTTGGGTGTTGAGTTGTATCAGTTCTTTGTATATTTTGGATACTAACCCTTTAATGTCATTTGCAAATACCTTCTTCCAGTAAGTTGTCTTTGAGTTTTGTTTGTTGTTTACTTCACTGTGCAGAAGCTTTTTATTTTGGTGATGTATGAGTAGTTTGTTTTTGCCTTTGTTTGCCTTACTCCTGTTATATATTTATTCATTCATATTTGCCTTGTCACTGGGAAAGATTTTAATCAAACCTTTGTTCCAAGTCACATTCAGGAGAAGTTATGAGTCCAGAACAATTCTACATATAGATGTAGGCATCCAACCAATTGTCTTCTGTTGTCATGCCCAGATATTTACATACAGAAATATGTGTTACTGTTTTTTGGAACTATAAACTATTCCCAGGGGAAAATAGTGGTACCTTCTCCTTAATGAATATCTACCATGTGCTAGTAATTCTGCGAGATGATTTTATAATGTTTTTCTAATTTTTTCAACAGTTGTGTAAGACAACTGTATTATTTTTTAAATCCTATTTCTAATCTTTCTAACAGAATATATTGATCACATGATGATATTTGTTTGGCAAATGTAGAAACCAAAACATAGGTTAAGAAACCTACATAGTTAGGAGTGAGACACAGATACTAATTTGAAATCCATGAGACGAAGAAGGTGATATGTATATATGATAGTTATAATGTAAAGTATAATGTGAAAGTTTCTCTAGAATGAGGTCCATATGTCCTTTGATAATTTAGAGGATGGAGAAATCACTTTCAGCTGGAAGACTGAAGATTAGTAGGATACTAACTTGAAGAGATGAAAATTGGGAAAGGTATTCTATGCTGAGGGAAATTCATGGAGCACATTACAGGAGAGTGGATGTGTAGGGAAAAGAGTAGTTTTGTTTGGTGGGAATGAAGGAAGAGTGGTAAGAGATGAACCTGAACCCTAAGTTAGTGGCCAAGCAAAATAATGTGTCCTAGGGAATGAATCTTTGAACAGGAAAGTGTGCCTCAGAAAGATTTGTTGTGGTGTATAAAATGGATTATTAAAGTGGGAAAAGATTGTTGGTACAAAGACGTATTTTCAGGCATTACAGTAAATAAATAATGCCAGCAAGAGATAACAAGGGATAGAATTATTATACCAAGAACGGAAGTGGTAGGAAGGAGGCGACCAAAAAAATTAGATAACACTTACATAACTGTGCTTACTATGGATCAGGCACTGTTCTGAGAGCTTCACATATATTAATTTAATTCTCACAACATGCTATGATATAGGTCCTATTACTATCCCTGCTTTACAGATAAGGAACCTCCCAGGATTAATTAAAGGATAGTAATTTATCTCTAGACTTGTTAAATTATGTGACATCTGTGTAATGGGATACTATGAAACCATCAAAATTGATGCTATAGAAGTATGTCTATTGCTTTGAGAAGATTCACTATTAAACCATGTTTATAGTAAATACAGTATTTCTGTTTTACTCTGAAGGAGTGTATGTTCGTTATCAATTTTATACCTTTTATGAAGTTAAAAAAAACATGTTTCTCTCATCATCACTCCCCCCTCCATTCCCACTCCTCAAAAGTGGCTATTATTAATAGCTTGGTAAGTATCTTTCCAATTATTTTCTTATGTACATGCAAAGCAAATTTTATTTTATCAAAATAAAAATCAAAATATATTTATGCATATAGTTTCAAAACTCACAGTGCAAAGGTACTATATTCTTTTTTAAAGTACCTATATTTGAGTCCACTGTACTTCTCTAATTTTTATGTGAAATTACAGTGATGGAAATAATATCCATGGAAGAAAAATACCATAATATGTAAGAGAAATATCATACTTAAATATATCTATTCCTTCATGTTATGCAGTGTCAAAACTAATTATTTGGTTGCAAAACTTTCCCATTATAATACATTGCTTCAGTCCATATCATTCTGTACAATGTTTGGTTCATAAGGTATTTATTGAAAAACATTAAAACTCTTTATTCAGCCTGTTAACAAGAAAGGGAAAAATAATTTTACCCTTAATTCCTTAATTATTAATTAATCCAGGCTTGTTTGTTTTATGCATTAATCATGTTTTTTTCATTTTCCCATTTTTTTTCCCATCTATCATTGACCTGTTTGTACCATATGGAAACATTTACATACTGAAACTAGTGGTACAAAAGAGATACCAGGATTATCTCTGCCTTGGGTTATCCTTCCAGGACATTTTAGTTTTGTTCTGTTTAAATTAAAAAATACAAAACTTAAAATTGCTAGTTCATTCAACTTCTTGATTTTTGATCTGCTACAGTGTCTAAAAACTCTTTAGACAAGCAAATACGTAAAATTAGATGCTTTCTAATAAACATCACCAAACATGATAAATTACTCATAGTTATGGATAATTTTACAAAACTCAGGTGTTTTTGTATTGATATAACAATAGCAATCTTCTTCCTCAAAGTATTTGTACATTGGTAGTGGTAGGTTGAGATAGGGGTTGGTGTTAGAGAGGTGACTCCAATCCCAGACAGAACAGGGATGAGGTGAAATATAAATGTGAAGATAGAAGGGTTTGTTTCTTATTTGTTTAACGACAGTTGTGAGACTTCCTAAGATGATACAGTGGGAGTCCTTAAAAGTCTAGCACTGTGACACTCCACACCTGTAGACTCTAAATCCTAAATGACTCCTAAATGGTAAAGAGTATCAAACTTGACTAGTTATAGTGATGTCACTAATAACTATAGTTGTAAAAAATTAACAAAACTTTCTTGATGAAATGATGGGATCAGAATGGGCAAAGAGAGCAAAATGATCTGAACTGAACAACCTCCTAAAACAATAGTGCCTGGTAGCACTTTCTGCATTGATGGAAATGTTCTTCACCTGTGCTGTCCAATATGGTAGCTACTAGGCACACATGTGGCTGTTGAGGCCTTGGAATGTGGCAAGTGTGACTGAGGAACTGAATTTTTAATTTTGATTAAATATAAATGGCTGTATATGCCTAGAGGCTACCATATGGGACAACACATTTCTGAAATGTGCCTTTTCATTTTTATTAACTGTTCCTCACAAGTAAGATACAATCAGTATTCTCAGAGAACACATGGCTTGTGGAAAGGCAGGCAAATATTTAACCTTAAGATCAAATACATAAAAGAAGCAGAGTGAAGAGAAAATAAGAAGTGTCCAGGAGAGAGGAATAGAATCTAAGTGAAATGTTAGAGAAATTAACATGAGGTAAACAATGAGGTTGAATTTTCCAGGAGTGACATCTCTTTCAACTTTGCTAGACTGCCCCATTTCTTCACACTAAAAGATGCGTAGTAAGCAGTCTTCTGCTACTGCCCCAGAATTTCCCAGCATATCTATCATGTGTAAGCTTTGTTGGTACTTATTTCATTGAGAAAAATCTATAGCTCCACCTGCCTCATGGAATTTTTCTTTTTTTAATTAACCTGGCATTCTCTACACTCAGAGTTAATGCCACATAATTTAACATCTGTTTATTATCAGTTTCTTTAATTAGATAAGAAACTTGAAAATGGGCATTATGTTTTCTTTCTCTCTTAGATGATTACAGTATCCCTTAATATTACTCAAATTCTTAAATTACTCACTTGCTCAGAGTGATTAAATAGGATATTTCCATTTTGTTTCCAATAGAGAAATGTTCTAGATTTTTCAAGGTGGCTTTTCTATTTGAACTTGAATTCTTTTCATCAATGAAACAGTGAAATCAATTCATTTAATTCCTTTATTTGTATAATTTTTATGTTTACAACTTAAACTTTGCTAACATTCAGTCACTGTTATTTAATGGAAGTTACTTAATTGAGGAATTTTATTAAAATACTGAGAACCTCATGTAACTTAAAATTTTTAAGTGTGATTTCTGGAAACAGTAATTTATAGATCAATTAGAAGTAATAAGATGATAGGAAGTACTAAAATTATGGGGTTAGCACGTCAAGTTTTAGAATAACATGATTTTGCACTACTTTATATCTTCTAAATATATATGTTTAAGAATTTTAATAATATTTTCTCTGTAGGTTTTTGCTTCAGTGTCTAGAAGACCTTGATGCCAGTCTGCGAAAATTAAACTCTCGTCTGTTTGTGATTCGTGGACAGCCAGCAGATGTGTTTCCCAGGCTTTTTAAGGTAATCTGAAAAATTTTTGCATAGAATAATAATCTTTTGTCAGAGAAGACACGTGTTTGATAAATAAGATACTTGAGGTAATTTAAAATATAGGAAATATAAGTATTTTTAAATAAAAATTTTGTGGGTTCTTTATTTTGCACTGCTGATGGGAATGCAAACTGGTGCAGCCACTCTGGAAAACAGTATGGAGGTTCCTCAAAAATTAAAGATAGAACTACCCTATGACCCAGCAATTGCACTACTAGGTATTTATCCAAAGTGTACAGGTGTGCTGTTTTGAAGGGGCACATGCACCCCAATGTTATAGCAGCACTATCGACAATAGCCAAAGTATGGAAAGAGCCCAAATGTCCATCGATGGATGAATGGATAAAGAAGATGTGGTATATATACACATTGGCAATCAAAAAGAATGAAATCTTGCTATTTGCAACAATGTGGGTGGAATTAGAATGTATTATGCTAAGTGAAATTAGAGAAAGACAAATATCATATGATCACTCATATGTGGAATTTAAGATACAAAACAGATGAACGTAAGGTAAGGAAAGCAAAAATAATATAAAAACAGGGAAGGGGACAAAACATAAAGAGACTCTTAAATACAGAGAACAATCTGAGGGTTGCTGGAGGGGTTGTGGGTGGGAGCATGGGCTAAATGGGCAAGGGACATTAAGGAGGACATTTGTTGGGATGTGCACTGGGTGTTATATGCAGGGATGAATCACTGGATTCTACTTCTGAAATCATTACACTATATGCTAACTAACTTGGATGTAAATTTAAAAAAATTTGGGGGATTATTTTATTTAATAAAAGTTACAAATGGTAAAATCAGTGAAAAATTTGGTTTACAATGAACATTTAAATCTTTCTTCTACCTTAAACTGCTAGTTTCCCTCCTAGAAGCAACAACTACTACCAGCTTCTTTTGTAGTCATTGGAAATATTTTTTATATTAATAAGAATGTATATGTCAGGTGGTTATATGTGTGTGTGTGTGTGTGTATATAAATAATATAAAGAGAGATCTGTAGCTGTGTGTATGTTACCCCCCCCCCCCCGCTTTTTAAAACCAAGATAAGAACACACTATATTTTACACCACCTGTGCCAAGCTTTATTCACATAGCCATGTGTTTTGGAGATTGTTTCCTGTTGCTTCCTCAGTCTTTTAAATGGCTTCATAGTGTTCCATTGTGTAGGTATGCTGTGATTTTTTTTAACAAGCTTTCTACTGAACATTAGTCATTTTCCACAGGCCTTTGCTAATACAAATAATGCTGTCAGTGAACATCCTTGTCCAAATATATATCTTTGCTCATATGTGCTCATACATTTTTGGGATAGAAGAGGACTTTCTGGGTCAAAGGGCTATAATGAACAACATGCTACTAATAATACAAAACTGTAGTTTCATGGCAGAGTTTTTTAACTTGGTAAAATCTTAAATCTCCTAGTCTTACTTTGCCTTTTTTCCCCTAATGAAAACATTAGTCCTAGAGAGATTAAATGAGTTGACTAAGGTCATGCAGCTAGCTTATGGTAGTGCTCAGACCAGAAGTTGTTTTCTTGGCTATCTTTTTTTTGTCCATCCCTTCCTATTTATACCATTAGGATTCCTAATGTATATCTGCTTTTTGGTTTTTTTTGCAGCTGTTTGATTCATCAAAACATTTTAATAGTAATGTGCCTGTTTCTTTTTTTTTTTTTTAATTTTTTTTTTCAACGTTTTATTTATTTTTGGGACAGAGAGAGACAGAGCATGAACGGGAGGGCAGAGAGAGAGACATACAGAATCGAAGCAGGCTCCAGGCTCTGAGCCATCAGCCCAGAGCCCGACAAGGCTCGAACGACCATGATCGCGGACCTGGCTGAAGTCGGACGCTTAACCGACTGCGCCACCCAGGCGCCCCATAATGTGCCTGTTTCTAATACAGATGAGAACAGTTCCTTTCCCTGAGTGAAAATGTCCCCAGTGTTGGGAATCAAATCAACACTACTTAGTCTTTTTCATTGGTATGAAAGAAACCTTTAATGTTTAGGATTTGGCTAATGCAGCAGTTCTAGCTACTGAAAATTTACTTTATTAAAGTATGTTTTACTACTGTGGCTACTTGGAGTCAGAATTTAACCTAGGTACATGGAAGAGTTGTGGGTAGAAAGAATATCAGAAACAATGGTAATAGTTTATCAGCAACTCATGAGTATAAAATGTGTGTATCTCTAAATCCATGTGGTATAAGTAAACTGAATCCTAAGATGATTTTACTTGCAAAAATAACGAAACTTAAACAACAAGTGTTTAAAGATATGGAGAAAAGGAAACCCTCTTGCACTGTTGGTAGGAAGGCAAGCTAGTGTAGCCACTGTGGAAAACAGTATGGAGGTTCCTCAGAACTACCCTATGATCCAGTAATTGTACTACTTGGGTATTTATCCCCAAAATACAAAAACACTAAGTCAAAGGGATACATGTACCTCTACATTTATAGCAACATTATTTACACTAGCTAAGCTATGGAAGCAACCCAAGTGTCCATTGATAGATGGACATAAAAATGAAATCTTGCCATTTCCAACAAATGGATGGAGTCAGAGAGTATAATGCTAAGCAAAATAAGTCCGAGAAAGGCAAATACCATATGATGTCACTCATGTGGAATTTAAAAAACAAATAAGCCAAGGGGAAAAAAGAGAGACAGATCAAGAAACAGACTCTTAACAGTAGGGAACAAACTGATGGTTACCAGAGGAGACAGAGGTGGGGGAATGGGTGAAACGGTGATGGGGATTAAGGAGTGCACTTGTTGTGATGAACACTGGCAGAGAAACAGTGGTTTCTGCATGGGCCATAAAATACAGATACATGAACACACACACATGCATAGATGCTTACTGTTATATTCAGGTTGTTCCTTGGGCTACATACAGTAGTTTGTATAAAATACCACTTATGGAAACTTCCTTTCAGATTATACACTGTGTCTAGAGCCATAGAGGGAATTCCTTTTTGATTGCGTTGATGTTTTTATTTTTACTTTTTTTTAGAGGCACTACATGCATGTGTTTAAAAAAAAAAAACGCCTAAAAGGTTATGCAGTAAAAAGCAGGTCCCCTTCCCACTCCCCACCCTCACACCCTGTTTCTCTGAGGGGGAAGACTCTTTTGTCCATAACCAGCTGACTCATTTATATTATTGTCTCTGGTTTTATTCTAGTACAGAAGATAGAATTTTTAGTAGGTAAGTAATCCTATTTCCTACATGGGAGGTAAAACTGTTTTAGACCTGGTAGTAGTACTTTAGTTGGTTGGTATGGTGACAGTGGCTCAGTACTGATGTCTGCTGTGTATCTTCTCTTTATAGCATTCATTCTATTTATATTGAATAGATTTAGGGATGGGGTCAGGGAATTTTTATACACACATATATATGTGATAAACTATTGTGTTTTCTGATGTGTTTTCTACTTAGGATTTTTCCCAGTTAAATTCTGACTTAATATAGGACTTTTTTGTTAACTTTTTTTTTCATGTTCTGAAGAAATGATAAAGAAACTTAGACACTAATGTAGGCAAAACTAGGGTAACACTATTAATCATATGAATCTTGTATCAATTATTATTATGCAGTTAAATCTTGCATCTTCCACATTTGGTGCCAGAATGAAAAGTTACCAAGACCTTGTACATTCTAGGCCCAGCAGGAACTTTTAATGAAGAACTTAAAGAGTTGGTTTAAAACATTCTCATTATATCCAAGAAACAGGGACATGTGGCTAAAGTCTTTTATAGGTGGACTCATTGAAGCATAACAAAATGTTTTGTCCAAAATCATAGAATAAATCAAAGAAGAACATCTAAAGCTACTAACATTTCACATGCATAAAATTCATGCATTTTGAGTTATTTTGGATTCTTTATTATTTTATGGTACATGCTCATTTGAATAGGACAATTCATTCAATAGATATTGCTTGTCTGCTATTACAAGGCAGAGTTCAAGGTGCTGAGGATATACTAGTGAACCAAACAGCAGATGTTTCTACCTTCATGGAGCTTATATGATAGTGGGAAGGAGGCAGATAATAAACAAGTAAATATGCAATGTCAGGCAGTGATAGGTGCTAAAATAAAGTGTGGGATATTAAGTGCCAAGGTGAGTGAAGGGTAATTATATGAAATCATGGAAGGCCTCCCTTCTAAGATGACATATGAGCAAACCATGTGAAGGGATTAAGCCATGCAAATATATAGGGTGTGGCATTGTCAATCCACAACATTTTGCACCTTCTTCCATCAAAAGGTAGAGTTTATTTTCTCCCTTAAATCTGGTTTGGCTATGTAACTTACTTTGGCCAACTGCCAAGGGAGACATTGAATTCCAAACCCTAAGCCTCAAGCAACCTTGAAGCTTCTACTTTGCCCTTTTAGAATGCTCCTTGTATCGTGCTGGGAATATGGGCTAGAATATCAAATTATGGGAGACCATGTAGAAATAGAGGGCCAATCATGAGCCAGCACCAAGGTCTGAGATGTATGAGAGAGATTATCTCAGATCTTCCAGCCCCCACCAAGTTGTCAGCTCATTGCAAGCTCATGAGTGAGCCCAGGTGAGACCAACAGAACCACTATCTAGTTAACTGACAGTCTTGTGAGAATCAATCATTTTGAGCTACTAAGATAACTGCAACATGGGGAAATAATGATGCAGGCAGAGGGAATAGCAGTTACAAAGGCCCTGATGTGGAAGCATGCTGTGACTTGTTTAGGAACAGCAAGAAGGCCAGCGTAGCTAGAAACACACAGTGAGTGAAAAGAAAAGAGAAGGTCAGAGAGGTTTCAAGGAGCCAGATCACAGGGCTTTCTTTATGGACCATGTTTAGGGGTTTGGCTGTTACTCTGAGTGAAATGGGATGCCATGGAAATTTTTGAGTAGATGAGTGACATGATTTCACTTACATCTTTTTTTTTTTCTTTTTTATTTATTATTAACAT